TTTTGCTATTTATCTTACCTTTTGCTATTCCTCCAGAAGCACCATGACAGCAACATAAGGAAAACGAACAACCTAAGAGGCCATTTACTCATTTGCTTTAGTGACGTAATTCTGTGAATCTGTAAAGCAAAAATATTTTCTTTTCTTCCTCCCTTCCTCCCATTCTTTCTCTGTCTCTGCCTCTCTCTCATTATCTCTCAATGTTTCCTTCGATAAGGCAAAATTTAGTGATTTTTTCCACTTCCTAGCTCCTTATCTGAAATAATAGCATCAGCTGTGGACCAGTAGCAGGAGCAGGAGCAGGAAGGCTGATAGAGACACTATTGAATAATGAATGGATAATGGCTTAAGGAGCAATAGATGAAGTTAATAAAGAGTTGCATACTCTATGCACTAATAGTAATCTAAATAATAAATAGGATCCCATTTGTATCATTTCTTATTTGGGAAATTAAAAAGCAACTTCTGTTTATATACTAACCAACCCATATGAACATACACTGAGTGGTCAGATTATTATGATCTCTGAACACATAATAATCTGGCCACTCAGTATATATATTAGAGGCCCAGTGCATGAATTTGTGCATGGGGGAAAGGGTCCAGCCAGCCTGGCCACGGGGAGGGGAACATGAGCAGTTGGTTGGCCTGCCTGCTGGTCAAACTCCTGGTTGAGAGGACAATTTGAATATTAGTCTTTTATTATATAGGATATACACTGAGTGGCCAGATTATTATGTGTTCAGAGATCATAATAATCTGGCCATTCAGTGTATATTATATCATAATGCCATATATTAAAAAAAGGTAAACTAAGAAAAGTAAAATTTAAATGTTACACCAAAACATTGTTATATAATAAGCATTATTGAAAAATGAAAGCAAATTACAGATAGTTCTAAAATAATAATCTCCATTATATAGTTGTTTAGTTATTGGATGGTATTTGTGTACCTTAAAATGCAGGAAGATATTTTTAAAAATCTGGCTATGATATTTCCCATATATACATGCTACAAAGTACACTAAAATAGCAAAAATTGCTCAAAATCATTATCTCTAAATGGAATTATTACTACCAAATACATATGCATTAAACTTAATCAATAATTATCCTTCTGGAATAAGAAAATGACCTTAGACTTTATTTTAGAAATGAATATTGTTTATCTTTACTTCAGTGTCCCCTCTATTTCCAGATGTGAATGTCAGTAATCAATCCCACACATACATCCTTTTATTTTAGTTGCTTCAGAACCATAAGCAGAGTTCATTGTCAGTCAGATGGCACTGTTGTGGCTTTCCTTTCTCAAAGTCAGACAACTTTCTAAGGGCTATGGTCTCTCATCCAACCAAGAAATGTTCCTACTCATCAAGACTTTACAGTTATCTATTTCCTTTCCTCTCAGGGATTACTTCTCAAGTCCCAAGTACTAGCTAACCTATTTTGACTAAATTCTTGTCCCAAAATTATTAATCTTTATAATGACCAATGTGTTGCCTTTTTCCTTGCAGGAAGCAATTTTAATATTACCTACTTATCATCATTACATTAAAAATTACACAACTTCATCTCTGCTCAGGATCCTGTTCTTCTTACTGGTTAGCCTCTCTTCTCCAATTCTATGCATATGTGCTCCCAAGACATACTTCTATTGTTAGAGCAGTGACAGTGGCAAACAGAGAAGAGCCCTGGAATTAGTGACCCAAAAGCTCTGACAGGAAAGCTTTGGTTTTCATATAGGGATTTAGATCTAATATTTCATCATTTCTCCTAACAAGTAATTCAATCCTGTTAGTAAGATCAGAGCAGCTATCAAGCAATAAGTGATAGCTATTTCAGATGCATCAAACCATTTTAATCCTTTAACATGCTCATTTCCTATACATGTTCAGCTTGTGCACGAGCTGTCTTTAGCATAATCCCAGTTCAGCATACTTTGAGCCACTTCAGTTCAAACTGTCCTCGTATGAGTACAGAAGCTTTCTCATCACACCGATTGTTCAGGGACTCACCCTCCTTTTCTTGGTGTTTAAGGGCGTGGGGAAATATGGAGGAGGGGATATCCATTCACAAATTTGGACAGACAGCCCATTTCTGAGTGTTCAGTGTTGATGGAGATAAGAGGGTTGCATGCAGATCCCAAGTGGCCTCAAGACCTCCATTATTGTCTTTGTGGTTAGGGTGACCATGCTGCCTAGTTTGTTCAAGACATTCCAGTTCATGCTATTGTCCCTGTTGTCCTAATATAATTGGTCCATTATCACTCTCAAGTATCCGTTTGGACAATACAAAATAGTGGCCCTGTTTATGTTAGAACTTTGCCAAATCCACCCACTTGGGCTGCTTTTCCTTTATCAACTTCCTGGATCCCTGTTCTGCCTACTTTATGACTGACCTCCTTTCCTCCTCTCTGGACCTTGCTGACCCCAAATCTTCATCTCCAGGAATTATTTTTCCTTCTCTTTTTGATGCAGAAACTTTAGACCCAGAAAATACTGATATGCAACCTGCACAGAGGGTCAGCATACATTGTTTGGGTAGTCTGGTGCCATCGTAATTAATTATTCTAAAACCATCCCCAGCCCAGAGCCCATCAACAAAGGAGTCTCTCGGACTTACCAAGCCAGTCCATCATGGCAGACAGGGCTCCACAGGTGAGTCTCACAGGAGTTGCTGTGTAGTCCTGGCTCCACACGGACCAGGCACCTCACATGTCATTTCACTTAATCATTATAATCCCAGGGAGGCAATATAGTGTGTAGTAGTTAGAAGCACAAGGTTTTAAAAATAACCTACTATGGATACAATTTTCAACCAGTATGCTGCAAGAATTTTTAAAATATGTAATACCTGACTATTTAGTCAGGGGTACTAAACTCTTGCTTTAGATTGTCAGATAAAAATGTGACATCAGCCAATACAATAGCCATCCAGTGTGAATGCCCTGTCTTGAACCGTAAATATATAGGTGATATAATAGAGCTGCATTTTATTGGTCACATTGCATAATAAGACTGCATCTGATTAATTCTTTGTATCAGAAATTTTCATATACAAGTATAGGCACCTGCATAAAGACCAATTGCATTACTGATTGGATCACAGATCAGCAGGAGGGTGGGGCAGCGAGCTACAAGCAGGTAGCAGAGAGCTACAGGAGGGGGCAGGGCAACAAACTATGAGGGGGGCGGTAAGGGGGAGACACAGGAGGACAGGACAGCAGGTAGAGAGCTACTTAAGGGTGGCAGCGAACTACTGGCACACGGATTCATGCGCAGAGCTACTCGTATGTAATAAAAAACAGGAATAGTCCAATGAATGATATGGGAAGTACTTTATTTTAACATGTGACACCACACAACAGCCACATTTTTACAGCCGCCCAACCACAGTATAGATTTGAATAGGAAAAATGGCTCAGAAATAGCAGTATTAGAGATTCAAGTATTGATCTTTATTTGATAAAGGATAGCAGTTTTGATGATTGATTTACCAGAGTTTTAAAATGTCATTTTATACTGAATTCTTTTCTTAAAAATAACATTTTTTAATTAAATATAAATTAGGTCTAGTCACATAATGAAAATGCATTTGAAAACATGCTTAAAATTCCCATCTCAGTCAATTTTGCTCTTAGTATTAAAAATGCCCAATTCCCTCATCATGCTGTAGGCCTCAGAGTCTCTTATACTATTTCCAAGGGACTTCCTAGGAAGTAATGTCTATCTTCCTTCAGAAAGACTGTAATAATCTTACCATATTCCCCCATATACACTTTCTGTCCTTTTGAGATATGCTTCTTATTGGCACAGCAGAAAAATATAACAGTATAATTTTGAAAACCTAAATTCTAAGCCTATGTCATAACTGTAAATAGGTCACGAAACTTACTTAGGTCTCTGTTCTCAACTGCAAAGGAAAGTCATACTTGTTATTTTTATCTTCACCAGTAACCCTTAGTTAAGTAAGATAGCATTACAATAATTTTTAGAGGAAATTCATTCTCTAAGAGGTTACACAATCCAGACAAAATCTCACAGGTAGTAACGTAACAAGAGTTGGACTTGAACAGTTTTGCTGAAGACCCTAGTACTGTTGTGCTCATAAATTTGTTAAATGCAGCAACATTTCCCAGGTCCCTTCCAATGATCACATTCCAATGATCATATGCTTCTACTTGCTATTTTCTTTCTACCAGAATTTAAATTAGAAAATATGTATATTTGGTCACCAAATATCATGGTTCTTTGATTTAACCATTCTTTAAAATTTTCTTGAATTTTTACAGTAAAGCTAGAAAAAATTATTTTTTTCAGATAGCTTCCACTACTGCTTGCTTCTATGAAGGCTCTTGGACTTACCTGTTTGCTTTCAAAGTACAGATTTGCTAAAATTTTAACACACTAATTCTTTTTTATACTTTTAGGTATTTCAAAACAAAATTTTAAAAAGGCCTTACTAATCCTTATTCCCTGTAGTAATAAAAATGTATTTTCTATTGGTTTTATATCCAGTTTCCTGTCTGCCTTTAATTGGAAAATACTGTTCTACTTCACCTCACTGTCAAGCCTCCCTTTCCCTAACAAGGAAATGTTAGTCATAAGTGTCAGAAAGCTTGACTATTCCATAGGAAGAATAAAATAACCACCTAAATTGGAAAGTTAAACTTTAAGTGTCAAATAAGGGAATCAGGACATTTCCTAAGAGGTCATATGACCAACTTAAATGCTGATATGCTTAAAATAACACTTAAAATTAACTTTTATTTGAAATAAATTTATAAACCTGATAGTTAGTCATGCTTATATTATACTCGTATATATGCCTAAACCAAATTAAAGTTGAAACAAAATTTATTCTATCAGCGGAGGTCAATAAATAGGATGCACTCATAAGGAGGGAGCTTTAAACATTCAGTAATTTATACAATTTAATATGCTAAAAATGAGAAAATAAACAGGGCATGGGGAGAGGAAAAGTAATTCCAAGAGTTCCTTCATTTTGATTGAATTGCTTTCTTGTCTTCAGAAGGGAAGATTTTGACTTCAAAAATAGTGAAGTATTTGAGAACAGAATTTACATCTTTCTGTTCTAGATGGTATTCTTCTGCTATTTTCTCAGCAGTCCATGTATCTGGATAAAGTTTATGATTACTGAGAAGTGTCAAAGCCTCTACAATGGAAACTTTGCCTTTGGGAATGTTCTCAATATTTATGTCAAAATGATTGCCTTTCGGCAATCTGAACTCCTTCGGCTCTGTAGGTGTTATAGCAGCTTTGTCCTGGTATCAAAAGACAAAAACAACAAAAAAGGCTTTCAAGATGACAGAACTAAGATTTGACATTTACAGACATGCTTCTCAAACCTCCACTATTCTTCTTCAAATAAGTACTGCACACGTTCTCCAAACTACATTTTCTCATTATGATGAGCCAAGTTCAATGGCAATCACATCACCATTTAATCACTATAGCTCAACCATCATGAAGAAATTCTAGAAAATAATACTTGAATGTATACCATCTATTCCCAATATTTCATTTATATATTAAAAGAACAACAACTGTATTAGGTTAAGACTGCTTTAGAAAGGCAGGACTCTGACAATGCCCTAAGTTTACTTGATGATCTCCATTCTGATTCTGAGTTTTGCATTTCAAATTCAATGCCTCAAACACCAGGAATGAATTTAAATATTGCTAGAGATTTTCCCTCTTCAGAGAAAATAAACAAGCGCTTCTAATACTCCAACAAACATAAATAAAACATTATATGCACACCCATCTTTTCACCTGTCTGTTCAGTAAAACCTCGATAACAGACTAATTTGGGCAAAGAGATGTCTGTTAAAGCTGAAAATCCATTAAACAGTAAAGTAGGTTTTCTGAATACGTATGTTAAAAAAATTGACAAATTAGTTCACCTATTTTTACTTATGTAGACATGTGTAATTTAAATTAAGTATGTATGAAAAGTTTAATTTCACAGAGAAGTTTTTTATATGTACTACTATAATTTTAAATTTATACTGAATAGGGGTGTAGTAAATGTGTGCATTAACCAGTCACCTTGAGTAAACAAGTGCACACGGCTGGGGCGTGGTTTAGCTCACATGCGAACATCGGCTTTCATTCACTCCTTAAAACTGCTGCAGAAAGTCATGCCACTGGAACCATATACCTCCAGTGATGAAGTGTGATTATTCACAGAGCTGTGACTCTTGGATTTAGATATGTAGACTATAGCTGCAGGTATGTAATATTTATTTATGTCAGTGAAATTACTATGGTGCTTTTCCAGCATATGGCCTTTTCTCTGAAATTTGTTAAAAATAACAGTGAATTCATAACAACAATAAAATAGCCTATTAATTTAATTATAAGTAAATCTTGGTTAAAGGCATTTTAAAATTAACAGGATATTAATCTTCACATGATGTATAGACTAGAAATGTAATCCATTAAGTCGGGGCTTGAAAAATCAAAGGTTTACTGTACCATCCAAGCTTAATCCTTGAATTTGTGCTCTGTATTTCATTCCTGTTACCTACTATGCCAATCGTTCATTCCCTTTTTTCCTCTTGCTTTCACCTATATCCTGCCTAATGTTGCTGTTTGGTCCAAATGTAAAAATGCTGTAGTAGCCAAAGCCGGTTTGGCTCAGTGGATAGAGCGTCGGCCTGCGGACTAAAGGGTCCCAGGTTCGATTCCGGTCAAGGGCATGTACCTTGGTTGTGGGTACATGCCCTTGACCGGTGGGGGGTGTGCAGGAGGCAGCTGGTCGATGTTTCTCTCTCATTGATGTTTCTAACTCTCTGTCCCTCTCTCTTCCTCTCTGTAAAAAAACAGTAAAATATATTTTTTTTAAAAAATGCTGTAGTCACCTTTAAAAACATCCATAAACCCAAACCCAATATATCCTTTATGACCTGTTTCTTTTCTTTTAGTTAAGCTTTACAAAAATAATGATTTTTTTAAAACATCTAATCTATAAGACACTTAAACAGTAAAATATATTTTTTTAAAAAAATGCTGTAGTCACCTTTAAAAACATCCATAAACCCAAACCCAATATATCCTTTATGACCTGTTTCTTTTCTTTTAGTTAAGCTTTACAAAAATAATGATTTTTTTAAAACATCTAATCTATAAGACACTTTTCCGGCTTTATATGAACTCACGATAGCACCTGAAGCTTGGGGTCCATGCCACCCTTTCTCCTGGTCTCCCATCTTTCTCCCAGTGGCTCCTTCTTTGTCTTCTTTGTGGACTCCTTTCCTTCAGCTGCCCCCTACATGTTAGTGGGCCTCAAGTCCTGGCCTGGGCCCTCTTTTCACCCTATACTCTATTCCTCTTCCTAAGTAATCCCACATGCCATATTCAGTTTCATTACTACCTACATGTTAATAACTTTCAAGTCTGACCTCTAACCTAGACTTTCCAGACCCAAATTCCCAAATGCCTAATGGCATCTTTACTCAGATAATCTACAAGCACCTCCAAATTAACATGTATAAAATTGAATTTATCCCTTTCCTCTGAAAACCTATTTCTAGCCCTATATTCTCTGTCTCATTGACTAACACCACCTACTTCCCATATCCCATACCAAAATTCAAAGCTTCACGTTATACCATCCAATCAGTGACCAAATCCTGTTGATACTGCCCCCTAAATCCCTCTCAAAGCTATTCATTTCTCTCCTAGTTACTAAATCACCTTAGTCCAAGCCAATGTCTCTTGAAGAAATTACTGCAAAAGTCTCTTAACTGGTATTCTCTAACGATAAAACGCATTTTGTTCTCTCCTAACCCACTCTCAAAACTGTCCATGTTAAACCCTGGTGGCCCATCTATGTTTCTCACATCAGTGTTTCTCCCTCTCCCTTCCTCTATGTAAAAAAACAAATAATTAATTTTAAAATAATTATGATATATGATAGGCACAGTGTCATTGATGTTTAGAGACATCACAAATGAATTGCCAAAAAGAAAAAGGGACAAAGAACATAAATAGGTACCTTCAACCTTTTATTAATTACTCTCTCTTGAATCTTATTAGACTTTCCTAATAACCCCTTTAAATTTTAATACCACCATAAATCTCTTCATGCATTGTATCTATATGTCGTACTTTACATGTAAAATCATTTTTTTTGCTCTCCAAAAGCTAATTTTCAAATGCATGATTTAACATGAAAGAACATTTATGGAAGTATCATTCAATACCTGCCTAAAAATAACAAAGAACATGAACATCAATTCCTATTATCTTTTTTGTGAGCATTTGGTGATACGTAAACCCAGTAACTTCTACTACATGTAATAATGTACAAACTTAATTGTACACATGAGCTTTATTTTTCTTTTCTATGGAAAATTATACTATTAACTATATCTTTGTCAGTCTATTACCTATCCAGAGAGAGAGTCAGAACAAGAGAATTTTAGAATGAGAAAAATTCTGGAAGCTGTCGCAGGCATTTGCCACTTCTTTAATCAAACTCTTCCCCTTGCTTAGGACCTTCCTGCCCCCACAAACTCATCTGGTTAACTCCCATGCATCCCTCAGGCCTCAGCCTGCATATCACTTCCTCAGAAACCATCCCTGATGCTCCAGTCTCAAACAAGTCCTCCCAATACACTCACAGTGCCTATTTCTCCTTCCTATCAGTAATTAGGTACCATAGTTGCTCATCTGTTCAATGCCTGTGTTCCTCCTGATACTATAAGCACCGTGAAAAGGACTAAGTCTATTTTGTTCATTACTATATACAAAGCACTTATATCTGGCATTTATTTATGGATTTATACATAAGTTCCCATTCTCAATGTATTCTTCTATGTATTCTATCTGAATATATTCTTAAAAATCAAACAAACACTACCAAGGCACCATTAAAAGAATCCCTGAAATTAGAACATATCTCAATACACTGAAGGGTAAAAAAATAAATATATTTTCACTGATTTCAGAGAGGAAGGGAGAGGGAGAGATAGAAACATCAATGCTAAGAATCATTGATCGGCTGCCTCCTGCACACCTCCTACTGGGGATAGAGCCTGAAACACAGGCGGGTGCCCTGATACAGAATCCAACTGTGACCTCTTGGTTCATGGGTCAAAGCTCAACCACTGAGCGAATGACAATCAATAGACATACCTTGCCAAATCTTACAAATTCTGAAACAATATAATTCACACAGTTGCATTCAGTTGATAGCTTCACAAATCTTTTGGAATTCTGGTAAATACCCAATGCACTGAGGCCTGTGTGTCTTGCTTGGACACGGCAAGTTTAAACTTGGCCAATACACTGCATTCTGGCCATGACCACAGGGACAGCTCACATCTGCAGAGCACCTTTTACCACCTGCCACACTTTTCCGATCATTTTCCTGGAGTCCAAAATGGTGAAATTCTTTACTGAATTAAAACACATTACCTGCGCAGAAGACACGGGATCTCTGGAATTAACGTACACATCTCTCAGTAACGACAGCAATTTGTCATCCTTTGTAACAATTTCTCTCTTAATATCCGCTTGGTCTAAGGAAAAGAAAAAGAATGTCAACACAATTAAAACCAAGTAAGTATTCCCTCTACGTCCCTAAACACTTAACACACGACGGTCAGTCACTATGTGTGTTAAGAAACAATCACTGGAGCAGCACAAAAAGTATTTTATTTTATTATTTTTAAATATATTTTATTGATTTTTTTTTACAGATAGGAAGGGAGGGGGAGAAAGTTAGAAATATCCATGAGAGCCGAAATCGGTTTGGCTCAGTGGATAGAGCGTCGGTCTGCGGACTGAAAGGTCCCAGGTTCGATTCCGGTCAAGGGCATGTACATTGGTTGCAGGCACATTCCCATTAGGGGGTGTGCAAGAGGCAGCTGGCCGATGTTTCTCTCTCATCGATGTTCCTAGCTCTCTATTTCTCTCCTTTCCTCTCTGTAAAAAAATCAATAAAATATATTTAAAAAAAGAAAGAAAGAAATATGCATGAGAGAGAAACATTAATCACTGCCTCCTGCACACTCCCTGCCCGCAACCAAGGTACATGCCCTTGACCGGAATCGAACCTGGGACCAGAATCGATGCTCTATCCACTGAGCCAAACCAGTCCTGGCACAAAGAAGTATTTTAAAGCAAACGACAATGCCGGTCGTTGTGTGAAGACACCTTCGGGAAACTTCCGCTGCACAGGGTTCCTTTGGGTTTGGATTCCCGGGAGCAAGTGGCCAACCGGGCAGACCGGAGGCCGGCGAGGAGGGGGCACCCGCGGGCTGTCACCCCGGGACTGCGAGGTGCGGAGCCGCCACCCCGAGGCGGGCCTAGGGGGCCGGCTCAATGTCACCGGCCTGGCGGGACCAGCCACTGCGGGCCACCCCGGCCCCCCGGCCCCCCGGCCCCCCCGACCCCCGGCCCCGGACCCACGCCCACCCGCGCGGCCCCGCCCACCACCCGCTCCGGGAGCCGCGAGCCGGCCCCCGCGCCTCCGCGCCGCTCACCGCTCATCTGCTCGCGCAGGAGGCTGCGGGTGGAGGGGTGCCGGGGGGCGGCCGAGGGCTTCGCCTTGCTGATCTCCCGGGCCGCCCGGTTCTCCAGGTTGAAGTTCTTGATCGCGCGAACCACCGCGGCCCCCATCGCTTTACACCATGATGCCCTGGGTTCACGCCGCACGTGGGAAACCCGGCAAGGGCGACCTCGGGACACATCGAGCATGCGCGAGGCAGGGATCGACAGGGCCGCGCGCTGGAGAACGGAGGACGGGAGCTGAGTGCGCGCGGTCTGCCCCCTAGCGTCCGGGAGGGCTCACGCCGCGTCGCCGCCAACGAAACAGAAGGAGCGCCGCTCTCCGGGGCGGGGCTGAGGGGGCGGAGGGGCGGGGCTAAGGGCTGAGAAGCAGAGTTAACGGGAGGAGGGGCGGAGGTGGAGGGACTAAGGGCGGGGCCAACTGGCTGAGGGGCGGGGCTTCGGGCTCAGACTCGTGCTGGTTCCTCGCTGCGGAGGCACCTGCAGACACCGGGAAGCTTTAAAACAGCTCCATGCCCCCCACACTTTCTCGGATTTCATTCCCGGGAGCGAGGCTCGGCATTGGCTCAAGCTTCCCACGTGATCCCAAAGTTGCCGGACCCGCAGAGAAAGTCCTAGGAAGCTGACCTTGAAGTCCTTTCCCAGGTCTGTGCAGCGGAAGAGGAGCAGATAAAGGTGGACTTAGTTCACCCGGATAAGGAAGGCTCGAAAAGTGCCCGTTCCCGACTTTGTGAAAGGAACGTGATGAACGTGCATTCATTTGGGATGAATATTTGTTCTCTGTCACTCTTATTTAAATACCTCTTACTTTTCTGTCCCCTAACATGGTGCATTTCTGAGCCACCGCATTCTCTTTTTCTTGATTTTTTTTTTACATCCCGCTGTTGTAATTCCTTTGACCCAATTTTATTAATTTCACTTATGCTGCCCTTTTATTAATTTGTGTTATTTGTCCACACCAATAAATGCTGAGTCGCCGCGTCATTCCCGTTTCCCCCTGCATGACTCATTGCTTTTTAAGCCAGGGAAATCGTGCAACCTAATGGAAGGAACAGCCAATTAAACATGAGAAAGAAAAAAAAAATACACGGGTGTTGTGTTCTCTCCCTCTCCCTGCCTTCCATCTCTAAATGGATGACTATTGCTGGTTTTATTTATTAAATAATGCCATTAATCCATATTAAAGAGCCTACCAGGAAGTAGCAGGGTTTCCAAAGCTACCATATTTTTCACAGACTGTGGCTGCAAAGCTGTTTTTGGTGTCCCCAGGTATGCTCAGCAAAATGAAGGTGGCTTTGTTTTTGTTTTTTAATCGCTTAAACACAAGAAAAGAGTCCAGGTAAAGATAATCTAATTGAAGTAATAATAATTTTTAAGAAAAGAATTACAGTAAAGAAAGGGCAGTTTTATTTAAAGAAAACTGCAATTATTAAATATATTTAATCCTAGCAAATGTATTACAAGGACCCTAGCTTTCCACCATTGATCATTACGACGAGTTTTTACTGAGGTTGGTATACGGTTAGTTGGTAAGTTATCCTGCAGATGGCAGGCTACTCCAGGATTTCCGTCTTTGCAAAGTAAGCGTGCGCCTAACTGCCTTTTAGCCCAGGTATTCGTATTTCCACAGGTGCCGAGAAACTGTCACCTAACCCATTCTGTCTATGAGCTTCAAAAATTATGGTAGCGATTCCACTCAATGTCTGTTAAAATATTTAGAGAGTGAAAAACGATTTCCATGGAAATCCCACCACATTTCTGGGAGCATGAAAAAGAATGTTAGACAAAAGTTACAGGAAGTGTAGGTTGCTGTGAGGATTACCACATAAAGAATTCCTTAAATTCCCACATTTAGGTAGAGTTGGGATTAAATACTAATGGGACTTCCAACCTATGCCAGCTGCTTTGCCCGGTTCTGGCCTGGTGCTGCTGAAGCCTGCACGGAACCAAAGACAAGGCAGAGGAACTCCACCAGAAACGCACAGCTGGCTCTCACCCCTGGGAAATCATCGTGGAATCAAAACTTGAACCAAAATGCATAAATCCAGCTCTTCTTGTCAAAACATAAATTAAGAGGAAGTCTGAATTCAGAATCCCTCCAGGCTTATGGTAAGGGTCAAATCAAAGTCAGGTCTCCAACCAGCTTGCCGCTCAGAATTAAACATCTGTCTGTCTGAGAGGAGTGTTAGGATAGGTGCATTTTGCTGAATATCTTAGGATACAAATAAAAGAGATCCAGGGTCTTGCCAACAAGGTAGAATGTAAATTCTATCAGGAAAGGATTTTAAAAATATATATATATATTATTGATTTTGTACAGAGAGGAAGGGAGAGAGATAGAGAGTTAAAAACATCAATGAGACAGAGTCATCGATCAGTTGCCTCTTGCACATCCCTTACTGGGGATATGCCCGCAACCAAGGTACATGCCCTTGATGGGAATCCAACCCCGGTCCCTTCAGTCCCCAAGCCGATGCTCTATCCATTGAGCCAAACCAGTTCTTGCAGAAAAGGATTTTTTTTTATCCGTTTTGTTTACAACTGTATTCATCACATAGAACAGTGCTTGGTACACAATAGGAACTAAATGTCAACTAAATCTCAAATGAACCCAAAGACAAGCAAGTCCCCTGAGCTGGCATCCAGACCCTAAACAGATTCACTCTGCCTGAATACTAGCCCTTTGCTTTCAAAGCGAGTCCTTGTAAAAGTCACTCTAGTTGAACCTACCATCCTCACCTTGACAATGGGATGATGGTCATTTCTGATGGGTTTCATACAGTTTAAAAAATTTAAAGTGCCGCCCTAGCCGGTTTGGCTCTGTAGATAGAGCGTTGGCCAGCAGACTGAAGGGTTCTGGGATCGATTCCAGTCGAGGGCACATAACCTTGGTTTCAGGTTCCCCAGCCCAGGACAAGGTGTATGATGTTCAGTATTTGCAATATTTTCATTTTCCAGAGGAGCAAGAAGTTTGAAAAAGAACCAGACATATTCTGACATCCTGGTCTATCGTGAAGAAAAGGAGTAAAATAACTAAAATGTCTGAAAGTAAAGTAAGACCCATGTGGTTCAAGAATTTAATTTTCAAAGTAAATGACATACTAAATTTCATTTTTATATTCTGATTCGTGTGCTCTGCACACATCGTGTCATTGCATTGCTGTTGGGCTCACTAAGGGTGGAATTTGGGTGGCAGACATCAGCTCAGGAGCACAAAATGCCACCTATCTTTGTCTGGCATTGGCAGTAGAAATAGCCTCAAGCCAGTCTTACTTTCCTTCCCCCTCAATCTTTCTCTCTCTGCCTATACTCTTACCTTTGTGCACCCTTCCTTTAAATATAACTCAACTGTATTCTGTATTCTCAAAAGAATGGCGGTCACTAAACCCAGATGACTGGTGACTCAAGGAGCTCAGGATAGCTCTCAGGGATGTCACTGACCAAACCCGAATTATTAGGGGGCAGCACAGAAGAAAGACTCATCCTGGCGGAGAGAACCTCTCCAGGGCCTGGATTCCAGCTCAGGCACCAGGAAATTAGTGAGAGTCCAACCAGGGTCATTGACAAAGTTCCCAAGCTGGGCCAGTTCCATAGTGATGTATAAGTATTGTCTGTTATTGAACCTTGAATTTTTTTTTTTGAGGGGGGATGAGAGGAGGTGGGAGTTGAACCCCAAACAAAAACCAACTAGGTTTTGAGCAGATCTAGTATTCATATTGAGGAATACTGGGTCTCAGGTTTAGAATTATCAACCAGCAGTTACACCTGGATGTCAGCAGTTACACCCGGATGGCTACTGCACTCATGAATATTGTCATTGTATGAGTTTTCTATTGGTGGTAACAAATTACCACAAAATCATGCCTTAAAACAGAACAAAATTATTGTTTTATATTTCTATTAAAAGTCCAAAATGAGTCTTAGAGGGGTAAAATCAAATTGTCAGTGAAGTTGTCTTCCTCCTTGAAACTCTAGGAGAAAATTCCTTGTTTTCTTTTTTTCCTGTTGTTTTATTTTTTAGCTTCTAGAGACTTCCAACATTTCTTGGTAGCCAGTAATTGCATAATTTCATCCTCATATCTTCTTTGACTATGACTCCTTTGTGTTCCTCTTTCCTTTGTAATATTTTCGTGATTACATGGATCTAACATGAATAAATCCAGAATAATCTTCCTATCTCACGAGCCTTAATCACATCTGCAAAATACCTTTTGCAAGTTATTGGGAATTAAGAAACAGACATCTTTGGTGTGCATGTATGGTGTGCATGTATGGTGGTGGAGGAGGAGGTGGGGGAGGGAACAGGCATTGTTTTGCCCACCATAGTCATCATCTTCAGAATATTCATTTATACTGATGTGGCTATGATCATGTAGTAAAAAACAGATAGAATGATGGAGAAAATGCCCAGTATTCTTCATTCAGCTCCATGGAGCTTATATGCCAATGAAATTACCTAACTGTTGAAAGAATAAAACCAACCTATTTGGGTGGTAGTATTCTTTCACGTTTGCCTAAGAGCCATGGTAGCTCACTAGTAAATTTGACACTAATGTGCCAGGTCAGCACTGCACAGGGAGGCAATTCTTATGTCCCCAGCCTTTCATCTTCCCTGGAGCACCTGTATCTGAGAAGCCTCAATGAGCAAGACTATGGATCTGCCTTGTGTATAAAGCAACATGACCCGTTTCCCTCGTTATAGTATCTTAGAGATGCCAGAAGTCCTCCACTTGTCTTACTCTCCTTCCCACTCCATTATTTCCATTTTGGTTTAGAATTTTACAGTTTCACCCACCCAGTTCTTTGATTGCATTGATACTTTTCTCCTCTTTTCTGTCTGTATACACCTTTAAAAGGCAGGTACTTGTGGAGATGGTAAGCCATTTGTGGAAGAGTTTATCACTTCTGTGAACTCTCAGACTGGAAGAAGATAGCTGTCTGAAAATCAGAGGAAGAGAGGAGAGTAGAGACAGGCTACTGGAAAACAAAAACAAAAACACAACATAGAAAATGCTCTAATTAACTGAGCCACTCCATTTGGGCTATGCCAGGTTCCTTGATGATGGTCCAAAAGAGTTTAAAAGTGTCAACTCTGCCACAAATTAATCTAT